CCTATCCCCTGTGTGCCTTGGCAGTCTCAGATCCCGGAGGTAGTAGTTTTTTCTCCGTACGTGTGTGAAGTAAGAGTTAGAGGTTCATCTCGATTATATATCGAGACAGTGATCCGGCCGTTAGACATTAGGAATTAGTTTATTATATGAATTCTTGTTAAATTGCTGCGAGAGCTATTACGTGCTGGAAAAGCTACGAAATTTTTGATGTTGTCGAAAATATAAATTAAGTCGAGCTTGAAACAATACGGGTAGTTCGTGAAATGATTTTGAAGAACTTTTAACAGAAAACTCTGGGGATGATTTTATTTTTTAGAGCTATTTATTGATTTTACTACCATTATGTTTATTAGAAATATTTCTTAAATAAAATAACGTACATATTTATTATTACTGATAAAGTCGGTAGGTGCTTTAGTATGTAGATAAGAGATACATTCCACGCTTTACGATTTTACATTTACAGAATTGTTTCACGTACTTCCCCGTCTGTTAGCCCGACAAGATAGAAAGTTATGAAAAGAGAGCGCCCCAAAAACGATCGCGATCGTGAGATCCTTGGTCGCGAGGGCGTTGGGTGATTTCGTAGCGTCCGTTACAAGAACAAGAAAGCGATAACGTGACGAGAAATATAGAGAGAGAAGAGAAGCGATAGTTAAAGAGAATAAGACAGAGGGAGTGAGTGTGAAAGAATAACGTCGACGAGTATCGACGTGGGAGAAGAATCGTCACGAGACTAGGGAAAAAGCAGAAAAACTTCGTCCGCGCCGCTCGAATAGAATTGAAACTTGTTCGATGAATTTTCGAAATGCGATGTGATTAATTATATTCGATAGCGATCGATTACAACAAGCGTGTCTATACTTGACGTCTACCGTGTGATCTGGGATCGTCCTGAGACCGAGCGATCTCGGCCATCGTCTCTTAGACGATTTGTCGATACGCGCCGAATACGATTAGAATCTATTTTTATTTTTACCACTTAGCCGATCTATGCCAAGATCGTATGAAAAAAAAGGAAGGAAAAAAAAATTGACGAGAAGACAAAAGAAACGAGAATCGCAGCGACCTTATTGGAAAATAAAAATGTTATTGCTATTAATAACGCACAGGGTGGTAACAATCCGAAGAAAAAAGTTCATATCAAGCGTCAGCGTTGCCCATATCAGTCCCTCACAGTCACGATATTCCGATATTCTCAGCACCGAGCCAAATTTCAGATGAACGTAACCCGGGATAAATCGTTAATTTCGCGCGGGTAATTTTTAAACCCGGGGGGGAGTTCATCGATTGTGCGCGAATAAAGATGAAACGGAATATCGCGATGGAAATTATCACTGCCTCTACAAATACTTGACCGTTTGTCAAAGGCGACGAGTGTCTCGAGACGATCCGCGACAAAAATTTTGGTAATTAAAGCGCATTGAGTATACACACGTCGATCAAAATATATCATACGTCCGCGCATGCACAAGCCAATTGACCGCGACGCGGGCCGTACAGACCGATGCGTTTTTCTCCGACTGCTCCTTTACGCGATTTCGTGGGAATATCGTGTTTTTATAGAAAAATCAAAGATTTAGAAGAAAATCCCTTTAGAAGAAATTTATATACTTGTTTACTCGAAGGATCAACGTTCCGGTAAATCCGGTAAATCCATTTTCTATTCCTTCCTTGAAAGTTCTCCAAAAAAACATGCGCGTCGCAAAGCTATTTTCATTGGATGTTCATTGGACGACGTTAAACGAAAGGAGAGATTTGTGTTTTATATGAAATTTATATGAACGTAAATAAGTAGTATAGCACATCAAATTTCACGTATGTATTCTAAATCCTATTCAGATCCTCTCTCGACGGATTTTTTTTACGAATCGTCAAACGATTTTATCACGGGTGATCGTCACAATAGGCAAATATATTTTCAACAGACATCTTTTGATAATATATATTTCCGGTTTTCGGCCCGCGGCGTGCCGCTTTTGAGCATGATCGGTTGTATAATTTAGCGAATGAGCATAAACGGCTTTTCGGGGTGGGCGCCCGCGCGCCCCCCGCCAATTTGCTTTCTTCTCGCAAATACTAGAGGGGAGGGGTGGGAATACTGTTTTTTATAATATTATATATATATAAATAAATATATATATAAATATATATATATACAAACGAACAGAAATATATATATGTATATGTGTACGCGCGCAAATACGTTGCACATGGGTGTTGAATATTGAACAAGTTTCAGCTCGCATAAACGAGGGGCGCATATAAAGTGACTAGAGGGTACGTTCTCGTTCGAGAAAATTCTTGTGGGAAAAAGAGATCTTGGAGAGATGCGAGAGAGATGAAAAGGGGGAATGAGAGAGAAAGACAGACGGAAAATACATCGTAGAACACGAGGACAGCGGCAGGAGACGAACGATTCGTTAGAATATCTACGATTCATGTGATTGTAAATAACGTAACATAGCGTATAAATAACGTAACGTTAATTAATGATATGCCGTACGTGTTACGCTAAAGAAACAAGAAAAAAATTAACTAAATAACGTTACTGTGTAATTTTTCGGATCGTAAAAAAAACGCGCATTGGAATGGGTCTGGCCGCCTGTGCTAACCGGCTCGGGAATCATGCACGGTATCGGGAGGTAAGGGGGAGGGGGGGGGGTGAGATTTTCTTACCGATAATAGATGCTGCCTATACGTATACGATGTTCCCAGAAATCGAAATCGTCCAACGAGTTTCCGTTTCGATGAGAACATTATCGCGCCGCGATCAACGGTGAAGATTCAAGATGTACGATCGAACGAGGGAACCTTGACGTGTCCGTCGCGCGTGCTCAGTCCGCGTCCGGGCGCGCGGATCGCGGCGGACTCGCTGTCGGGTTTTTTTATCGTGGAGATCGACGCAGAGGACGACCATGAGAGGACTTGGAAGCGGGAACACGCTGAGCGCCGGCACGCGCGCTTTTTCGTGGCGCGCCGGTGCGTCCGAGGAAGGAAAAAAATGCGGAGCGCGCACGTTTCCCCGTGATGAGCGCGCTCGTGGATAGCACGGGCCGGCCACACACGCGACTAGATGTAACACTAATTAACACCTAGCAGTAAGCGAACTAACGGATATAAATGCAGATATATCGTCGGACATAATAGCCAGGCGGGGCGAATGCGCGAGCGGCTGTTGTGCGTGCGTGTTGCGCTTTGACGCGAGTGCGAGCGTACGATTGGTGCTTTTAAGCCGTGTGAGCTTGTTTGCGCGCGAGCGACACTGGTGGAGGAGAAGACGCTGAGAGACGCGAAAGAGAATGGAAGCGAGAGAAATTAAGCTATATACGCATAATGTACACAGACACAGACACACACACACACACACACACACACACACACACACACACACACACACACACACGACACACA